ACCCTAAGCAAAGAACCTGTGGTGGCTTCTGACCGTAAGGTCATAAATGGGAAATATTTTTGGCTGCTAAATTGTGGCCACTTGTGCAACAAAACTGCTTATCTGGGAAATTTGTTGAATTTCATTGTTCTTTTCTCTTTTTCTTCCAATTGTTTATTTCCTTCAAGAGTATTTGTCTTAATGTTTCTCAGAAATATCGGTTATCTAATTATCAATGCTACTAGTCCCAGTTACAGCTGATAGGGGAAAATGTAATGGGTTAGGAAAACTGGTTTCAACTATACTTGATTGAAACATAAGCAAGAGGGGCTGGAGAGATGCCTCAGTGGTTAAGAGCATCATTGCTCTTACAGAAGACTGAGATTCAGTTCCCAGCACCCACATGAACATTAACAGCATAAACAGACCCATAACACAAAAAGAAATTGAAATAGTAATACAAAACCTCCCAACTAAAAAAAGCCCAGGACCAGATGGATTTACAGCAGAATTCTATCAGACATTTAACAAGATTGACAGACTACTAGTTCAATTAACCAAAAGAAAGAAAAAGCACCTCCAAATCAACAAAATCAAAGATGAAAGGGGAAACATCACGACACCAGAAAGATACAGAATATTATAAGGGAATACTTTAAAAACATATATTCTACTAAATTTAAAAACATAAAAGAAATGGATGGGTGTCTAAAGGCATGGGAACCACCAAAACTAACCAAGAAGAGATTAACAGCTTAAACAGACCCATATCACAAAAAGAAATTGAAACAGCAATACAAAATCTCCCTACTAAAAAAGCCCAGGACCAGATGGATTTACAGCAGAATTCTATCAGACATTTAAAGATCTACATCCAATACTACTTAATTTATTCAAAAAGATAGAGCTTCCAAATTCCTTCTATGAAGCCAGCATCACTCTAATAACAAAGCCAGGTAAAGATACAACCAAAAAAGAAAACTATAGACCCATATCCTTAATGAACACAGATGCAAAAATTCCAATTGTTTATTTCCTTCAAGAGTATATGTCTTAATGTATAACTATCTATAACTCCTGCTCCAAGGAATCTGATGCCCTCTTCTGACCTCCACAGGCATTGTATGCATGGGTGCACTTACATTCATGCAAGCAAAATACTCATACACATAAGAATAAAAGCAGATTTATGTGTATGAATGTTTTGCTTGCATGTATGTAAGTGTACCCATGCATCCAATGCCTGCAGAGGACAGGAAGGCATTAGACACCCTGGAGCTGGAGTTATAGGTGATTGTTAGCCACTGTGTAGGTGCCGGGAATTAAACCAGGGTCCTAAGAGCAGCCAGAGCTCTTAACCTCGAAGCTATCTCTCCAGCCCCTATTTTTTTTTTAAATTATATGTCTGTGTGTGTCTGTGTGTAGGCATGTTCACATGTGAATGCAGTGTCCTCACAGGTCAGAAGAGGGCTTCAGATCTCCTGGAGCTGGAGTTACAGGCCATCAGAAGTAGGTACTGGGAACCAAAGAGGGGTCCTTTGCAAAAGCAACAAGTACTCTTGACAGCTGAGCCACCTCTTCAGCCCCTGGTATAATTTTATTTGTGGATACTGAAATCATTATTTTCATTTGCCACAAAATATTCTTTTGGTCTTCACCTCAACCCCCTCCTCCAATTTTACAATTCTAAAAGCCATTTTGAGCTTGTAGGGTGAATAGATACAGGTGCTGGGCCTTCCTTTGCTCTGACCTCTGATCTAGGCCATCCTGTGCTACAGGTCTTTGAGGGCTGTCTGGTGGAATGATCTGTTGATCTGAGGGTGGAACTTGGGCTTCCTGCCTCTGCCTCTGGAGGGTTCTGAGGTTTAGTAGTAGAATGTCCTGTTCCAATTCACATGTTAAAGCAGTGTATGAAACCCAGTCTATTTGTTAAATTTTTTCCTACTGGCTTAATTTTTAAAGTTATTGTCATTATTTTGTGAGCGCATGATGTGTGTGTGTGAGCACGTGTGCTGTAGAAGTTACTGGTGGCTGCCGTCTGGGCAGGGTATTTCCAGGTTCTTGGCCTCTTACCCAAAGAACTGAAGAACTCACACAGATTTACAAAAGAAGCAAGATAGCTTTATTTGGAGCAAAGCCACAGTACAGATTAAAGAGGGGTACGTGGTTAAGACCAACAGCTGGCCACATGAGTGCAAATGCTCAAGGGCCCAGGCTACAGCCTGCTGTCCTTTTGTGGGGTTTAAACAAAGGAGGGGCTGGTTACTGAGCAGTGTACTTTGGGTGGTTCCCTATTTCGATTGCTAGATTAGGTCATACATTCTTTTTTTTTTCCCTACTGTGTATGTCCCTTCCCATAATGCATATGATTTTAATCATATGCACACCCAATTATGCATCAGATGGTAAATAGGGGATTCCTCCCAAAAGTTTACTGGAAGACACAGTTTTGTCTTACTGTACAAGTACTCAAAACCAGTTCGGGCCCGATTGGTCCTTCTATTTGACTAGACACTGTCTCAATCTGATTGCTACCAGGAGTGGGGAAACATTTCATTGCTCTGAGATGGGAGTATGTGTAGCCCAATGCAGGTGAGGATTCAAGGGGGTTGACGTTACTAGGTGCAGTCTGGGGAGGGGCATGTATATGTAATGCCTGCTGGCGAAGGAAGATGGCTGCTCTGTGTGTGTGTGTGTGTGTGTGTGTGCGCGCATACATAACTCAAAACCAAATGGGGTCCCAAGCTAAACTATCTTTTCTGCTTGCCTGCCTTATGGAAGTCAAAGGACAATTTTGTAAAGTGGAGATGGCCCATCTGCCACTAAGAGTTTATAATCATAGAATTCAAGTCTTTCTTGAGAACCCAAAGACATCACTTAGCACAGTAGTTTGAAAACATTTCTAGGTAAAATGAATCACAGTTTTGTTTTTAAAATTAGAATAGAATTTTATTTGTGGAATTGAGATTTTTAAAAATGACTTTATACTTTATGCAATAAATTGTGATACATTAATCTGAATCTATATTTACCAAGAAAAGATTAAAAAACAATATCAAATAGCTTATAATCATGACAAATTGTGTTTACCTTGATTTTTTTTTTTTTTTTTGTCTTTTTGAGACAGGGTCTCCCTGTAGCCCCAGCTGGCCTGGAACTCACTTTGTAGACCAGGCTGGCCTTGAATTCACAGAGATCCGCCTGCCTCTGCCTCCCAAGTGCTGGGATTAAAGACCGTGAGCCACCACACCCGGCCTACCTTGATATTTATATGACGTAACCAGCATTATAAATAAAAAACTAAAATACCAGTTGGGTTTGCATTTGTAATATGGTTTTATGCATTTAATTTTGGGGGAATTAGAGAAAATGTAGGCTAAAATACTTTTATAGAAAAGTAGGATGCCCATGTTTCATGAAAATAACCGGACTCTGCAGCAGTAGAACATTTGAGACATTTTCTTGTGAACTGGGCTGAGGGCTGCAGCACTTTGTGCAGGGGCCCTTCAGACCATTGGAGCCCAGTCTCCTTAAAATCAGGTTCTAGTGAAGCCATAGGGCCATCCAAATGCGTTTGAGTCCAATGAAAAGGAAGCTTGGTGTTTTCTATGACTTCACAGAGGTGTCATATATACCACCATGTGCAACTCAGCTTCCACAAAAACAGTTCTCACATTCAGTTCTGTATGATGAGGACATTTAAAAAAATGCATTGGCCCATATAACATTATTTTTCAGCTATGGAGAAAAATAATTCTGCTGGTAAGCTCTATACATCAATATAAACATGAGCACTTATATATTGGCATGCATTCAGTACCAGCCACAAGTCTCCATCCTTAACTATGGTAAGCCAGCTTATTTTCAAGTGAACAGATTTTCTGGGTACACAGGCAGCTTGGGTACCCAGGTTGACAGACTCTGACAGTTAGCAGGAAAAGCTGAGATATTTTACAAAGCACCTCCTGACTTTGCATCTCTCCAGAACTTAGAATCGCCTCGAATTTGAGCGATGAATAAACAGGAGCACACAGGGATCAGCTCTCATAGTTGGTCAATGATAAAACCAGGACTGCATGCCTGGCGGACACTGGTGAAGACCCTGGGGAAGAGAGCACTGGTCTGTGGGTTACTGTCCCTAACCCACACTGGGGGCATGGTGTTACTGAAATCTCTGTCATGTTAGGGCCCAACACGCTTAAACCAAAAGCCACAAGGCCTTCTTACATATCTCACAGAGCACTTATATGCATTAAGAAAGTTTATAACATGCATTTAAATTACTCCTCTATCACCAAGATACCAATTGAGGCTTAGGTTTTTTATAAGAGCATTTTCTATATAATCAAACTAACATAAGGATGAATATAAAGTCTTGGCAGACTTGGTCTTTGCGGGTGCACTGGGACCTAGGCTGCTTTTCCTTCTGCCTTGTTCTGCCTGTTCACCCCAATTTTGGATTGTTTACAGATTCATGTACATGTTTATGAGTTCCTCAAGGATGAAAGGGAGCTAGGTTTCATGTTGACAATCTTTCCCCCAGGGCTGGGCACACTGCAGGCGCTGCCAGTGTGTGTTGAACGCATGTGTGGGGTCTCTTTGGCTACTTCAATGTGGGTACAGTAGGATTCTACCTGCAGCATTTTCTCCAAGAGTTTTTGAATTTTTGTTTATTTGTTTTTAATGGAAAAATAATATTTACTTGCAATATAAACAAAATCCCATTGCTGGCTTGGGAGTTATATATATATATATATATGTGTGTGTGTGTGTGTGTGTGTGTGTGTGTGTATGTATGTAGGGTCACAGATTTTTCCTTCATAAGATCATAAAGCAAAATTGGCCACTGTCTGTTTTTTTGAGACAGGGTCTCCTTGTAGCCCCAGCTGGCCTGGAACTTGCTATGTAGACCAGGCTGGCTTCAATCTCACAGAGATCCACCTGCCTATGCCTCTCTAGTGTTGGTATTAAAGTTGTGCCCCATGACACTCAGCTGGGTTTTGACTCTTAATCAAACATAATTTTCATAGTACACAGTACTTTTTAAAAAGCAGAAGAAACATGGTAACAAGTTTAATACAAATTATGCACTTAACTATTCTTTGGTTATTTTAAACAAATGATTTGGTTTTTTATTACTAAAAATATAAACTGCAACTACAGAATCAGCTTAACCTGTAAACATAATGAACCCTGTAAACATGTATTTACTACATAACTGTACAGGAGGGAAGGTGACTAGGAAAGGCAGGTCATCTTCATGTGTATTTAGAAAGACTGCTTGGCAGAGATTGCTTCATGTATTAAGAAGGAATGCTAAATACACTGGAAAATGATGACCCTATCCTGTGACTGAGCCATAAGGGGGTACAGGAAAGAGGAAGGCTAAACTTTTCACCCACTGCAAATAACAACTTGCTCGACTTCTCTCAGGACCCACCTTGTAAACGAAAGCTGCATATTAACAAATGCCAAATACTTTTCAAATGAAAGAGTAAACAATTTTTTTTTTGCAAGTGAGTCAGTTGGCTAAAAATATAGGTGACACACTTCCCAAAGTTGTTCAACGATCTCAGCAATATGGTGTTCTAGGCAAGTCCACGGAACAAACAGCTGCAATAGCACTAAATGTATTGTAGTTTACTGGATGTGAAAGACTTTCTTTTTCCAAATTTCAGTTTCCTTCTCAAAGAAAGCATCAAACTCTTCACACATGACACTCATTACAGATATTTCACAGTTATAATTTCAGTAGTTTAAGAAAGACTGCCTGGAAAATACTGTCAAGGAGATTAGTACGGACAAAACCAGGTCAGGGACTCAGACTTCATCCTGCCATGTAAAATGAACCCCAACAACAGAATGAAGTAACTGTATACTTCAGCGTGACTGAAATCATGGAGACTGTCATACTATGCCATCTGGGAAGAGCCAGCAGCCATGTTTTAGTAGTTCCCTGGAAAATTTTAAGACATGATTTTAATTTTGCTTATATAAAACTATGGCAGTCAAAACACCATAGATTCTTACTCTTAATCTAATCAACACCATCAAAACCCTGAGTGTTTTCAATCGCCATCTGAAGTTTATCCCATAGTTCTTCAAATGATTCATAGGGTGGCAGGTCCAATCGATTGAAGCTGAAAGAAGAGGGATGAATTGATTAGGAAAGACAGTGATGCAGCAAATATCACCATGGCAACCACAGTACTGTTGCAACTTGGGAAGAGCATGTTCCATCAGTGCTAACAGAGGCCAGACACAGAGCAGTCTCCAGGCAGGGACGTTCCCCTGACTCCTGTGCCATCCTGTCCTCACTTTCCTTTCCAAACAACTGGGTTCCTCGGTCAAGTTTGCCTCCCACATGGAATGTTCTAGTCCCTTTTGGAATAGGCCACCACCCACGGAATGGAGGTACTATATGTGACCAACCATTCAGATGGGCCTTCTACATCTTTAGCGACCTGGATTTTGAGTCAAGGCACCTCAGGTAAAGAAACAGAGGTTTCTGGGTTTGGGTCATGGTCTCTTCCTCTCTTCCAAAGCTGCCGCCCACCCAGCACTCTACCTGCTCCCCTTGGGCTAACTCAGCTCTGTCAAGGGTGAAGCAGGTATTTACCAGGTGTGCGCTCTTGGCAGCTTGTCGGGGGCACCCCACTGCTCAACTGTGAACGACTGTGGTCCATTCGAACCTACAGGGAAGATGAGTTTCTGTGGTTAATTTACTTTATCATGAATCCCTGGGCACCGCAAAACACATTTTTTCCATACATAGAACTTGTAACACAGAGAACTAATCTGAAAATAAAGCCTGCCCTGTGCTTGGATTTATTGGTGAGTCATAAAGTGAAGTGCTGTCATTTAATGTGTAAGTGCCTAGCCTCTCTGCTCCACCATGCTGCGTCTGGTTCCTGACCTGCTGCATCTTCACTTAGGATTTCCTTCACTGGAACAGAGAAAATGAATACTCTTTTGACTTTTGATTCTCGTTGTAAACAGTTTTAATTTTTTCCGATTATATAAATCTCTGTAAAAAAAACAGTTTTAACTTAGGGCCTCACATAGGCTAGCAAGCTCTCTACCACTTAGCTATATTCCCAGGCTTCAGGGTTTATTACATTTTTACTTATTATTATTACTATTATTATTTGTGTGTGTGTGTGTGCATGGGTGTGCACATGTGCATGCATGTGCCACAGTGAGTGTGTGGAGGTCAGGGAACAACCTGGAGTCAGTTCTCTCTACCATGTGGGTCCTGGGGATTGAACTGTCATCAGGCTTGGTGGCAAGTTTTTTTTTTTTTTTAACCTGCTAAGCCATCTCGCCAGCCCTGGTTTTTTGTTTATCTGTTTTTTATTTAAGACTGGGTCTCACTCTTAGCCCAGGCTGGATTGGAACTCACTATATAGTGGAGGCTGGCCTAAAACTTGTGGCAATCCTCCTACCTCCGACTCCTGAGATTACACGAGTTGTTTTGAGCATGTGGCATTCACACAGAAACTTTTACCTGCACATGATCCTACTTTTTTTCTCATTATGAACATTTTACAAACTATGTGTTCTCTTTCTCTCTCTCTCTCTCATTTTCTCTTAGCTCTTCTCCAGTCTTAGCATCCTTCAACCACCAGATTATCCATCCTGGTCTGTAATTTTCCATACTTTTCCTCCCATCTTATAGTCACATCCAAGGGTGTATGTATACTGCCAGAAGTGGCACTAAAATATTCTTCTCAGTATCAGAATTTCCTCAGAAGTGTAACTTTTCACACATTACAATCATGTTCACAGTTCAAAGTTTCACTGCTGGAGTTGTAGAGCGGTTAAGAGTAGATAGTGCTCTGGCAGGGGACCTGAGTTCAGTTCCTGGCACACAGTCACCTGTAACTCCAGCTCCAGGGGATCCGACACGCTCTTCTGGCCTCTTTAGGCACTGCATGCACACGGTGTACTTACATGCAGGCAAAATACTCAAATGCATAAAATAAAAATAAATATTTTAAAAAAGAACCAGGAGGTATCACATGATTCCTTGTTATGAAAATAGGAGCTGGAGTTATGGACAGTTGTCAGCTGCCATGTGGGTCTTCTGCAAGAGTAGCCAGTGCTCTTAACCACTAAGCCATCTCTGCAACCCCTCTTGGCTCTTTAAAAAAATATCTATCTGGGGGATGGAGAGATGGCTCAGCAGTTAAGAACACTGGTTGTTTTTGCAGAAGACCTGGGTTCGAATCCCAGCACCCACATGGCAGCTAACAACTGTCTGTAACTCTAGTCCCAGAGGATCCGACAGCCTCTTCTGTCCACTGCGGGCATTGTACAACATGGGTGCACTTACCTACATGCAGGCAATACACACATAAATAAAAATAATAAATAAAATAAAAAAATCTATCTAACATCTATCAATCATCTATCAATCAATCAATCAATCAATCTATCTCTCTCTATCATCAATCTATCTATGTATATAATTTCAGTTCTTTCATCTGCAAGCTGTCTATTGTGAAAACTCCAAGCTAACTAATAAAAACTTAACATTCTTTTTATTGGCTGTATATGTATTAAATTAAATTAACTATATAATTGTGAGCATTTCAAAGAAACATCTCCTCCTTTCTGCTAACACATAAGAATTTGAACTTATATTCTAATAAAAGTAACCCTGGCTCTGTATGTGGGATATTTCACCAAAATTTCAAACAGTTCATGAAATCATGGGACAGCAGAAGATGTTGGTCGCATGAAAGAGGGAAGGTGGGGCGAGAGTTGGAAAGGGACACTAGTCTGTCCTGCTACTAACTGCTACTGACTAGCTTGGGAAGATAGAGGGAACAGGACAAGTCACTGAAAGAACTCAAGTTAGGAGTTGGCAAGTGGCAAAGCTAATAACCCTTGTGGGTGGAGATGCGCAGGCAAGATAGACAGGTGATGCAAACATACACAGGAGCTTAACAAGGAGACCAGGTTTGACAAGAAGGAAGAGAGGTGAGCAAGCCCACCAGAAGCCACAGCTTCAATTTTGCAAAGAGTCATTGCCTGCACGGCTGCTGAGTCTACGTCCTGGAACAATTCGAATGTGTGTGCGGTGTACGCGCACGGGTCAGGCTCTTTTATCACGCTCTACCTTATTCCCTTGAGACATGGTCTCTCAATGAACTTAGAGCTGGGTTGGCAGCCAGTAGCAGCGATGTCTCCATTCTGCACAGAGCTGGGGTTACAGGTGTGTATGGCTATGCCTGGCTTTTTACATGGGTGCTGAGGATTTTAACTCCAAATGCTTGTGCAGCAAGTGCTCTTACCTGCTGAGACATCTCCGAAGATTCACAATTTTAATCTTTGTTGTTCTGAGCAGGACTCCAGATTTAACAATGACTTTGCTTAAAGATCTGTTATTGATATCTTTAAGAGAAAGTAGGGCTAGAAAGATGGCTCAGGAATTAAGAGCACTCACTGCTCTTCCAGAGGACCTGGGTTCGATTCCTATCACCCACATGGCAGCTAACAACCATTTGTAACTCCAGTTCCAGGGAATCTGATGCCCTCTTCTGACCTCCACGGGCATTGTATGACATGGTGCACTTACATACATGCAGGCAATATACTTATACACATAAAAATAAAAGCCGGGTGTGGTGGTGCATGCCTTTAATCTCAGCACTTGGGAGGCAGAGGCAGGTGGATCTCTGTGAGTTCAAGGCCAGCCTGGTCTACATAGTGAGTTCCAGGACAGCTGGGACTACAGGGAGACCCTGTCTCAAAAAGACCAAAAAAATAAAAATAAATAAAATATTACAAGAGCAATAAATATCAGTCCAATAAACAAGATCATCAACCAATGTGAGAAGAGTTTCTGTGGTTCACATTAGAAATAGCATTTGGAAGCTGGAGAGATGGCTCAGTAGTTAAAAGTGCTTGCTGCCTTGGCAGAGGACCTGAGTCCTAGCACCTTCGTGGTAGCTCACAACCAACTACCTATTATTCCAGTTCTAGGGAATCCAACACCCACCTCTGGCTTCTTTAGGCACCCGAATGAATATGGGGTACATAAACTCATGTAGACACACAGACACACAGACACACAGACACACACACACACAGAGACACACACACACACACACACAAATAAAAATAAATCTTAAAAAAAGAAATAGTTGGGCTGGAGATATGGCTCAGCGGTTAAGAGCACTGGCTGTTCTTGCAGAGGACCCGGGTTGGTTCAATTCCCAGCACCCACATGGCAGCTACAAAGCATCCTTAACTCCAGTTCCAGGGGAATCCGATGCCCTCTTCTGACCTCCGTGGCATTGCACAACACGGGTGCGCTCACATACATGCAGGCACTACACTCATACACAAAATTAAAAATTTTTTTTAAAAAAAGAAATAGTCCTTTTTTTAACCAGACAAACTTCTAGCATATAAATCTGGGGCATAAAGAATTCTAGATTATAGAAAACCTCACTAATTATTCAGAGTATCAAGAGTTCTCAGTCTTATTGGGGTCCTGCCATCTCCCACAAGAGTGAAGAATACTCTAATGAAATTCTCGACCCCACAGCTCGTTCCATACCACAGAAGGAAAAATAAGATTCTATGATCAAGAAACTTTTGGAAATGGTGTGTTTAAACTTTTTTTTACAGTAAGAGTTCTGAATCAGTTCCAAAGAAATCTACGGTAGTTCCTCTTTATCTGTGGGATCATTTCAAACTCCTCTGTGGAAGCCTGAAACAATAGGCAGCATCGAACCCCATATTTACTGTTTTTTACCTATACATGCATGTGTATGCACAGATCATAAAGCTTACTTTATAGACCAGGTGCAGTACAAAATGAAAAGTCTCATACGAGTAAGTAATAAATAAGTATCAATAGCTAACACAACACAACAGCACAGTAACAAAGGTATGTGAATGTGGTCCCTTGCCCTTTCTCAAAATATCCTCTTAATAGTTCTGACCTGTGGCTAGCTAACTGAAACAGCAGAACACAAAGCCATGGGTACAGGGGAATTTAACTTGCTTTAGTTCAGCCCACATATTCTGAGGAGACTAGTCATTGTTATAGGTCTGCTAACGCTCTGAAATGTCATCCTGAACAGTCACCCTAGAGGCATTGCTGTTTCTCAAAGCACAGACTGGGGACTAGAATAGAATTTAAAGTTCAAGAATGGAGGTAAATCAACCCATTTTACAATTTTCTCCTCTACGTGATTAGAAGGTAGAAATATATTTTGGCTGACTTTATATCACTTAAGAATCTTTTTTTTTTCCTGTCTTTTTGAGACAGACAAGGTCTCCCTGTAGCTCCAGCTGACCTGGCCCGAACTCTGTGAGATCCACCTGCCTCTGCCTCCCAAGTGATACAATTAAAGGTGTGCACCACCACATCCGGCTAAGAATCTTTTTTTAAGATTTACTTTTATTCTAATTTATGTGTATGTGTAAATGTGTGTTATGTGTGTATGTGCAGTGCTCACAGAGGCCAGAAGATGGCATTGGATCTCTTGGAACAGGAATTGCAGTTGGTTGTGAGCTGCCTGATGTGGGTGCTGGGAACTGAACTCAGGTTCTCTGGAAAAGTAGCATGTGCTTTTAACAGCTGAGCCATCTCTCCAGTCTATCACTTAAAAATTTTAATTCTTTTTGTGTATGTGTGAATGTGTGTGTGTTCATGCGTGTAAGTATGTAGTGGTCAGAAGACAACCTCAGATGTGTTTCCTTAGGCATCTTAATTTTCTAAAGATTTATCTTTATTTTAATTACATAGATGAATGTGTGCCTGGGTGCACATGTGAGTACAGTGCCTAAGGAGCCCAGAGGTGTCATAACTCCTGGAGCTGGGAACCAAACTTGGGTCCTCTGTAGTGCACACGCACACTCTTAACTGCTGAGCCATCTCTCCAGTCCCTCATCTCTCCAACCCTCCATCTCTCCAGTACACCCATCTCTCTAGCCCCCATCTCTCCAGTCCCCACTCTTTTTGAGACAGGGTCTTTTATCTGCCTGTGGCTGGACACATAGGCTGGTTGGCCATCGAGCTCCAGGGATCCACCTGTTTCTGTCTCCCAGCACTGAGATTACAAGTGTGTGCCCCCATGCTCAAACGGACTTAAGTCCTCATACTTCATGGTCAGCACTTTACTGACCAAACTCTCAAGTCCTTAATTCTTTTATTTTTAATTAAGCTAAACATTAGTGAAAATGATAGAAACTTGAAGTTGCTAATCAGTCATGAAAATGACAGCCAACATCTCTCCACTGCTGAACTGCTGAGAGATCTACAGAGAATCCTTACCGTAGAGTTCAGCAAATCCATTCATAGGCACACGGGATGTGCCGGTAACAAACTGAAGTAATCGTATTCTTTTTTCTGAATCCATCATTAAAACAGCCTGAATAACAAAGATTTCTGTTAGAGAATAGTTCTGAAAATAAGGTAGACAAATTATCCTTAAAAAATGCTATTAGAATTTTGGGAATTAATAATCACAAGTTCTTTTTTTTTTTTTTTTTGCTTCTCAAAAGTCGTATTTCCAAGACTTTCTGGCAATTCACTAGAATGGAATTACAGCAAAATGAAGTAACAAAAGCTTCTTGTCAGAGATGACTAATGGCTCTGTGTGTGTGTGTGTGTCTGTCTGTCTGTTGGTCTGTGCACACACACATGCATGTAGAGGCCAGAGGTCAATCTCAGCTTTATTTCTCAGGAGCCATCCACCTTAACTTTTGGAGACAGGGTCTCTCAATGGCCTTAAGCTCAAGTAGGCAAGGCAGGGAATCTGCCTGGATCAACCTTCCAACATACTGCAAATACACATCATCATGACCAGCATTTTTCTTTTGAGTCCAGGGGGATCAAATTCAGGGAGGGTCTCAGTGCCTTGCAAGCACTTAACCAACTGAGTTATTTCCCTAGCCCCAACTCATGGTCTTAAAAAAACTATATTTATTGGGACTGGAGCGATGACTCAGTGGTTAAGAGCACTCACTTCTCTTACAGAGGACCCAAGTGTGTTTCCCAGCACCCATATGGCAGTGTACAACTCCAGTTCCAGGGGATACGATGTTCTCTTCTGGCCTCTGTGGATACCTATACATGTGATGCACATAAACTCATGCACACACACATACATGTATACCTTTAAAGTCTTAAAAATTACATTTACTGATATTATTGAATGGCGTATTTACCTATAAGAAAATTTAAGGGAGCCATTTTGCAGGCTACTGCAAGTTCTCCTGAAAGCCTCCACTTAGGTGAAAAGCTACCTAGGTCAGCCCATTTACTAAAATTCTGAATGCCTTCCATATTAACTTCTGAATACACAGGAGGCTGGGGTCAGGAGGCTGGGGTCAGGAGGCTGGGGTCAGGAGGCTGGGGTCAGGAGGCTGGGGTCACACCCAAAGGTACACAATACAAAAGCAAAGGCAAGTTTTGCTGACTTTTGTATTTTTCTGGATTACTGTGTGCAGCCCAGTGCTGTACTCAGGAGTTGACTAGTAATATTTAATCGACTACGAAAAGTAATTTATGGCAGCAGAAGTTTGAAGTCACCTTCCAAAACCACTGGATGACCTGGTGATTTGCGCTGTAGCCATTCTTGTACTTTGTATGTTCTCTCCAGTCGTTCACATCCACGTCTCCCAGGCCACACATAAGAAGCTGCAGAAAACAGGCAGAACCGTGAGCAAGAAAAACCGCAGGGCAAAATTCCTGCTTCAGCATAAAAACACTTCTCTATTTTCACAGTTTTATTTGTGTGTGCATACACGTCATGTCATGTGCGTGGAGGTCAGAGGACAACTTGTAGGCGTCAGTTCTCTCCTTCCACTATGTAGGGCCCAGGGATTGAACTCAGATCATCAGGCTTGGTAGCAAGCACCTTTACTCACTGAGCCATCTAGTCGGCCCTCTTGCTCTCTCTTTTTTTTTAAGACAGGGTCTTCTGTAGCCCAGATTAGCCTCAAACTCACTATGTGGTTGAGGATGACACTGAACTACGGATCGTCCTACTTCTACCTTTCTAGTGCTAGGATAACAGGCATGCCTGGTTTATGCTGTGCTGAGGATGGAACCTGGGGCTTTATGCATGCTAGGAGACATGCTACCAACTGAGCCACAGCCCCATCTTCTCTCTCCCACCCCTTCTTCCTCCTCCTCTCCCCTCTGGTGGTGCTGGGAATTGGACTCAGGGCCTTGTGCATGCAAAGCCAACACTCTTACCACTAACCATATTCCTAGACACACGTAAAAGTATTTCTTACCTCTAGTTCATTTTCATCAAAAATTTTGATGAGATCCTGTGGTATCAGTTCAAAAAACCCCTAGTAGAAAAAAATGTATTGAAACCCTGGTTAGCAGGCTCAGGGGATGTTCCTACACTTCAGCTCGTTACGCTCCAAAGGAGGCCATTTGAATTTTTACCACCCCACATTCATGAGCTCTCCACCAAGATCTCAACACGAACAAGAAAATGTGGGTGCTGCAGTCTTTCCTCCCTTGCTGTTTCTCAAAGAGGTTTCCAAGCCTCCTTCCCTTCGTCATCCTGCCTTCTTCACAGTAGTAACTCCCATTTGTGAAGGAAAACAGAGGCAAGTCCACAGGACAGACGCCCAGCCCCCATCCCACAGCAGTGGTGGGAGGGGCACATTCACAGGCTCCGCCCTCTTCCGCTGCTTTCTAGGAGAGCAGGGTTCTCTAGGGCTGACTCTTCAGCCCTGGAAGTCTGTCTAAATCAAAAACAGAAGAGCAAGCACCTCTCTCCTCTTCCTTTATAGCCCGGTACTTAACAGTAGTTAAAGCTGGAGAATCCAATTGCTCAGCCCCCAATTCCTCAGCTCACTGCACCTGCTCTGCCGCTTCCCTGAAACTGGGTGGACAGAGTCAGCTTTGTAGCTCTATGTAGTAAACACTTAGTATTTCTTAGCTTATTTGATATCTGCTCTTCAAAAAATTAATTTGTATTTTGTGTCTGTGTATATATGTGTGGGTGTAAGTGTCCCACAGCATGTGTGTGGAGGCCAGAGGACAACTTAAAGACATTGGTTTTCTCCTTCTACCATGTATATGCCTCGGAGATCGAACTCAGGTCATCAGGCTTAGCAGCAAACACCTCTACCCACTGAGCCATCTTGCCAGCCCAGTCTTCTCTTAACATATTGCTCCCTACTTGTTTTGTTTCGTGGGGTAGGGGCAGGAGCTTGCTATGTAACCCAGGCTGGACTGGTACTCTCTCTCTATGTAGCCCCGACTGGTCTTGGGCTTGCAGCAATCCTCCTGTCCCAGCCCCCACTCATGGCATGCTTGCTCATCTTTATTAATTTCCTCCAAACTCTCCTTTTCCAGCTGCCATTCACAAAGGACACTGAACATACCGGTTCCCACCGGTGTGGCCATGACATCCATGGCTCTTTCTTGCTGCGTGTTTCTCTAGTTCACAGCTTCACCAGGCAAATGCAGACACTCCGGCCTGTGTCCCTGTTCCCCAACCCCACTGAAACGCACTCGCAGCTCTTCCCACTGATGCAGTCAGTCTCAGCTCCCATCCTTGGCATTTCTTACCTAATCACCATGGCTTTCCCAGCTCTGCCTTGGCCTCCTCTAATTCACTCTGCACACCATTTCCAGAACAAGCCAACTAAACTGTAACTGGATCCTAGTGTTTTATTATATATATATA